ATGACGTCGGGGGTCTGGGACCAGAAGCACCCTGCTCTCCTCCAGGGTGCCCTGGGTTTCCTGGGCTTCGGTGGTCTTGCCATGGAGGTCGCGCCGCTCCCACACCGAGAGTCGACGGACGTCCTGGGTCTCAGGGATGGGTTTCTTGTGGCAGGTTTCTTGTGGTCGGGCCCCCACTGGACCTCGACGAAGAAAAAACGCCATAAACATAAACTTTTGGCGCTCCTGGCGGATTTCTTGCATCCGTGCCGGGCCCCCCCCGCGGCGCCTCCGGCGCCGCCCCTGGCGTGCTCCGCGCGCCAGGGAGGGGGATCCAGCGCGGATCCGAGACATGCGCGCGGAGCGCCAAACGTTCTGTTTATGGAACTTGATCTTCTTCTGCTACCGCTGCTTGGATGCACGTGGCCGCCGACCAGAAAATGTGTGCCCCTCCAGCCTCCGCCACCGCCGCAGAAGGGCGACTGGGTCGACAATCGTCGGCCGCGTGCTCCAGCGGACCGCGTGAGGGCTCGTCAGGAGGCCTCCGGGCGCTGGCCGATGGGACGATTGGCTGTTCTGCCGCAGGGCGTCGCGCGCCCTGTGTGGTGCGAGCTATGTAGTGCGATCTGCGCACTCGTTTGCAGAGAAGCAGTTTGGCACAAACGCAAACTCTCGGAGATCCGTGCGGAGTTCTTGGATCGGCGCTGGGGCCCCTTTGGCGGCGCCTCTGGCGCCGCCCGTGGCGCGCTCCGCGCACCAGAGGAGGGGGCCCAGCCGCGATCCAGCGAATCCGCGCGGACCTCCGAACGTGTATGCTTCTGCCGTCGCTCGTTCTGCCCTTGCGGCGCAGTCCATGTCTTGCAAGGAAGTGTGATCGCATGTGTGCCGGATCACCGTCCCAACATGCCACCTGCCCACCCGCTATTTGCTGGCAGAACCCAACTGGGTGACGACAGCGACGATGACGATGACGATGTTGATGACGACGGTTCGGGACAATGTCGACGACGACGGCGATGGCGATGGTAATGAAGCTTATGGTGATGATGGTTACGGCGGCAATGGTGACGCTGGCGGTTGTGATGACGATGCTGTTGGTGAGGATGATAAGGAAGCGCGCGCGCAGACATGCGACTAGGGCGACGGCATTGACGGTGACGATGGTAGCAGCGGTGGCGGTGGTGACGACGACGACGGTGATGATGATAGCGATAACGGTGACTGCAACGATGATGCTGGCGGCGACAGAACAAGTTGGTGCTAATGAGGATGATGGGGGCCTGCGCGCGCGCGTAGAATAGCCTAACCAGCGCAAGCCATTGAAAATCAATTTGGGTCCCGTATGTGTGTTCAAGACCTCTGTTGAAATGTTTGGCTAGCCAATGGTTGCCGACTGGTTCCGATGTGCGTGCGCGGAGACGCCTGCGAGCCGCCTTTTTTGCTATCTGACAGTTGGCCAGTGTGCAATGCAATGATCCTTGGACGTTTGTTACATGCGCTCGCGTGTGTCCCGCATCCTTCCAGTATAGAGAGTTGCTAATCACGGGTAGTTCTGTTATGATTTCAGCGGGTGCACGCACGCAGAAATCTGCCAATTTCTTGTTGTAAGGCAACCGGTTATTGGCAGTTGTTGGCTAGCACTTTCCTGAATTTGTTCGAACACCATCTCTTCATGATTTCCCCTGCGCGCGGCGCCGCGTGCATGCACCCTGGATCGCACCCACCTGTTGCAAAGGGTTGTTGCAAAACACATGCCTTATTTCAGCGCGTGTGCACAGTATTGTATTCCCGGACAGGACAGGGACGGGGGGGGGTCGGTACCGGGACCGCCTGGGATATCTTGTTGTTGTTTCTTGTTTGGTGTTTGATTGACTGGTTGGGCGATCGTGGAGAGTTGCCATGTCAGCACTACCCCCAGCGGTGGGGTGGTTGACCCTGGCCTCGGGTGGGGGGGGTCGTCGGGTCTAAGATGAAGTCGGGCGTGTCCCTCTACAAGGGGGGATGTCCCAAAATCGTCAAACAATGATGCGGGGACGATGCTTCGACCATTTTTTGGGCTATGTTTGAGTATGTGTTGACCATGTTTTATGCGTCGTCCAAAATTCGCCTGCAGGAGGACATGCCCGACTACGGGGGGAACATACACAAGTAGTACAACAAATCGTCTGGGGACTATTCTTTGAGTATTTGGGGGCATCTTTTGAGCATATTTGAATATGTCTTTTTTGTCGTCCAAAATTCCCCTGGAGGGAGACAGGCCCGACCCGAGTCCCAGACCCCCAACGTCGTGATTTTTTCACAACGTCGACCCCCAGAAGTCTGGACCCCTTCCCCGGGACCAGTTTTCCATTCTGAGTTGTTTTTTCACGGTCCCGAGGCCCGGTGAGGACCTCCAGAGGGCGAAAATAGCGAAAAACTTTCCGTCGTGTTTTTTTCGCGACGCGAGGGGGTCTGGGGTCTAAGGTCGCCGAGGAGCAGGAACAGCGACGGGCGCTTGCGCCGGGCAGCGCACAAAGGCGGTCACGGGGGCGGCCACGGGCGGCGGCCGGCCGAGAACGGCAGAGCAGCCCCGCCAGCGAGGCCACGATCAGGAGGGAAAATCATCCCAGTGCGACCCTACCTAGGAGTTGGAGGATCGAGGAAAGCAACATCAAACACTTATATGAAGCTAAGCTAAGCTAAGCTAAGGTGAAGTTAAGCCAAGATGAAATAAGATAAGCTAAGATGAGATAAGCAACGCGAAGCTAAGGGAACGTCACTGGGGGAACCGCGGGGCGGATGCCGGGGGAACCGCCCGGGGCGGGTTCCACTGCCCGGCCCTTTAAGCCTAACAGTAAGAACCCTTCTGGGCAGAGCCTAGATGAGGAAAAACACACAGACAGAATTCATCGCCGATGCCCCAGGAAAATAGGGGAAAATATGTGGGAAGCGGGGGAAGGAAGACAAGGGCCCAGAACATACAGGAACAGATGGGGAATCCTGTGATGGGGAAAATGCAGGAAACTATGGGAAGCCCCGGAAGCTATAGGAAAATATGGGGAGTCCTGCGATTTGTGTGTATTTCTTTGTGTGTCCCGGGCCCCCTTTGGCACGAGGCGGCCACGAGGCGGCTGCGGAGCGCGTCCGAGCCCTCGCGCCACGGCGGGGGCGCTCGTTACAAGGAGCGGAGCGCGTCCGAGCCCTCGCGCCACGGCGGGGGCGTTCGTTACAAGGAGCGTGTCGGGCCTGTCCCTCTGCGGGGGGAAGATCCAAACATAGTCAAAAAGTACTCTGGGGACTATTTGTTGAGCATTTTCAGACCATTTTGGAGCATTTTCTAATGATACGCACTCTTCTGCTTCCTCCTCCTCCTCCTCCTCCTCCTCCTCCTCCTCCTCCTCCTCCTCCTCCTCCTCCTCCCTGCGCTCTTTTTCATTTGCGGGCCGAATTTCGTGACATGTTCGTTGCGTGTCGTCGCGCTTCTGAGCTTTGCGATGGGTGCCGTCAAAGCCCCCTTGAGGGGATGCGGACTCAATACGAAGCCGGAGCTGTGGTAGTTGGTGGGCGTTTGCGGTTGGGAAGAAAATTGAGCATTTTCTGAGTATTTCTTATTTTTCGTCCAAATCCCCTTGTAGGGGGACAGGCCCGACATAACTGTAGACCCTGGGGGAGTTCCTTGTCCAACGGGGGCGGCGGTGATATCCATGGCCGATCCACGATTGGAGGTCCACTGGCTTCCAGACCCTGGCTTCCTCATTCAAGGGTTCCTTATCCAATGCCCCCGTCTCAGTCAGTCCCCAGGCTTCAGGGAACTGACTGCGCCATGTTCCCGGATGCTGCTTGCAGCCTTTGGCCCAGGCTGCAGCAAGGCCGAGTGTTTTTTTGTGGGGTGCATGGCGAAGCTGCCCCGTGCGCTGCCGGACAGCGGTGCCGCAGGAGCCCGCCGCGAAAGCGGGAGCTCGCGCCGTGAGTGAACCGCATGCGCGCGGGCAGCCTCACTCTGCTGGACGCGTCGGCAGAGGGAACGAATGTGGACGTCTTCGGTATCCGCCGAAGCCCCGTGCGCGCAGCGGGGCCGCTGCTGGACAACCCTTGGCCTCCAGCTGCGCCCCCCGCCACGAAGCGGGCGGCGGGGGACTCGCCAGTTAGCGCTGCGGCCGACTCGGTGGCGCGACTAGGGCTGGATCCGCGCGTGGTGAAGACGGGCTACGTGCTGGACGAAGCCCTCCCCGGCGGGGAGACTTCGACAATAGAATTCAAGTCGTGCATGGACCGCCAAAGTGGCGACCAGGGTCATTTTGCGATCAGCGTGGTTACCGGAAAGGTTGCCCGCTATTTGAGTGCTTTCTTGAACACCAGCGGTGGCGCCATCCTGTTTGGCGTGGAGGACTCTGGTAGGGTCTCCGGCTGCTGCCTGACCGAGCGGCAGCGGGCGGCCTGCGTGAAGGCGATCGACGCCGCGACCCAGTCGCTGGACCCGCAAGTTGAGGCTCGACGGGCGGGAGCAGTACGAACGTACGCGTGTTGATGCCTGCGGTCAGGAGCTTGGCCTTTGGCGCGCCGCTCCGCCAGTTCTGGCCCACCACGCAGCGGTGCGACACGCTATCCAGTTTCCCATTCCCGAGCGTTCCACGTTGGATCCCCTTCGGGGATCACCCGTTGAAGTTGGAACGATGCAGCAGAGAAGATGAACATGGCCCCTGCGAAAGGATGACACGCACAAATCGAGGAGCGCACACATTTTTCATTTGAGAGATATTATTCCCCAGCGTCCCAAGTGCCGAGGGTTAAGTCGGGCGTGTCCCCCTACAGAGGGATAGTCAAAAAATAGCCTGGGGACTATTTTAAAGCATTTTTGGACCATTTTAAAATATGTTTCGAGTATCTTTTATTTTTCGCCAAAATCCCTTTGTAGGGGGACAGGCCCGACTTAACCCGAGCGGTTCCCTGCCCCCCGCCCCGCGGGCCGGAGCGCGGTGCTGCCCGCCCGCGAGGGGCAGCGTGTCGCCGGGGCCGCCGCCGCCGCTGCACGCCAAGCAGGAGTGCCCGACCGCGGGGGGGCCGTCAGCCCAGCGCCTTGCCCGTGGGTCGTCGAAAGTCAGAAGGGGACGCCTCGGGCGACAGGGGCCTCCAGGGTCCCAAGACCGTGCGGTGACGGACCGTGCGGTGAGGTCTTGGGGGATGTCGAGGTCACCGCACGGTCTGGCGCCGCACCGTTTCGGGACTCCAAACGGGAGCGCCCCAGGATCTGGAAGTCCGGGAGTCCCGCCGGGCCGCCGGGGGCCTCCCTGGGCGGCATGCTCCGGGCCCCCACGCGGGCCCAAGGCGGCCTGACGGCTCGTGCATCGCTCCTTTTTCGGGAGGGGAGAAACTCACACAGGCACAGTTCATCGCTGGCCCCCAGGACAATGAGGGGGAAGTGTGGGAAGTGGGGGGGGGGAGACAAAGACCCCAGAAAATATGCGAAGATGCGGGGAGTCCTGTTATTTGAGTGTGTGTGTGTGTGTGTGTGTGTGTGTGTGTGTGTGTGTGTGTTTATTTGTGTGTCCCAGGGCCCCTTCACCCTTGCCCATCGATCGACGGCTCGTGCATCGCTCCTCCTTGCCGGTGCGGAGAAGGCGCTCTGGCCGCCCTCGCCTTCGCCCTCCTCCGCCGCCCCGCCTGGGAGGTGGGCGCGGTGAGCCACTGGTTCGCGCCCGTCGTCGGGGAGCCCGAGGGGAGCCTGTGGGTGCTGGTCGTCGTCGCCGAGCAGACGCCGGGGCGCCAGCCCGTCTACTACCTGAATCGCAGCTCGACGGACGCGTGGATCCGGCGGGCGGAGAGCGTCTACACGATGGACGCCGCGCTGATACGCCAGCGGGAGGCCTCCACTTGCGGCAGCTCCTGCCCCTCCTCCTCCTCCCTTCCCCCTCCTCCTCGTCCCCCTCCTCCTCCTCCTCCCCCTCCTCCTCCTCCTCCTCCTCCTCCTCCTCCTCCTCCTCCTCAAACCTCCTCCTCCTCCTCCTCCATTCATATCCTCCCTGTCGCACCCCGAGGCCTGTCGACAGGGCGGGCCGGGCGTTTCGCTTGAGACTTCCTCACCATTCATCATCCTGAAGCTTAGAATTTGCAACGCTTGGACGGATGGAGGGCGGGTGGTTTTCAAGATGCTGTTCTCGCAGTAGCGCCGCGTGCATTCGTCCTAAAAATATGCAAGAGTTCCACGGATTGAGGGTGGGTCGTTTTCAATAGTTGAATATCGCTTTAGCGCCGCGTGCATTCGATTTAAGGTTTGCACACACTTCACAGATGGAGGGCTTTAGAACATCGCACATTCGGTTTAAAAGTTTGTAGAAATTGTCATGGATGCAAAGCTGCTCCTTTTCAAAATGTGGTTCTCGCCCTAGCGCCGCGGACATGTGTCTTAAGAGTTCGCAGAAGAGTTTGCAACCGTTTCAAGGATTATTATTGTTGACGCCCCAGAGTCGGTGTTTTGGCACGGTGCATGAATGTCAGGGCGGAAGTGTCAGGTTGATTCGCGGTCTTGAAATCCCAGGAATTGCGTTCTGGCACGACTTCGAACCGTTAAGATAAAGACGCAACAGTTACGGTGATTCGCAGCATTGGAGTCCCAGGAATGGTGTTCTGGTGCAGTTCTGGATTTTCAGACGGTTTCCCTCCAACGGTTCCAAGGGGTATTTCCTTCAGCGAAAATGAATCCTTGTGTGGGCCTGTGAGAGCGAACTTGGAGGGAGGGTTCATTGCAATGTCGTTGATGAGTCTTGGGTTTGCTCTGGTCCTCCTCCTCCGCCGCCTCCTCCTCCTACTCCTTCTCCGCCTCCTCCTCCTCCCCCTCCTCCTCCTCCACCTCCTTTTCCTCTCTCTCTCTCACTCTCCGTCCTCCTCCTCCTCCTCCTCCTCCTCCTCCTCCTCCTCCTCGTCCTCCTCCTCCTCCTTCTCCTCCTGCTTGAACCCGCGGCCCCGGCACTTGTCCACCTTTAGGGCTAATGTCAGGTAACCGGGGCCAGGCGTGTCGCCGAAAGTCCATGCAAAAATAGAGGGGTGTGCCTGTCCAGGTATTCTTTCTCGGTGCCAAGGTAGAGGGCGACATTCCACCAAGGCACCCGCAACAAGGCACACCCTCCCCCTCAAAAATGGCACAAATGGCGAGGAGGGGAGGAAGGAGGAAGTAGGAAGGGACCGGAAGGCGCAGGAGCTGGGGGAGCGGCCGTGGTGTGTGCGCCACCAGGCCCCACCGTTAGGCGCGCGCGCGTCCCCAATTGAGGCAAGGAGCACGGGAGGAGAGGGAGAAGAGAGGGGACAAAAAGAAGGGAAGGAAGAGAGGGGACAAAAGAAGGGGAGGAAGAGGAGGGGAGGAAGAGGGGAAGAGGAGAAGAGAGGGGAGGAAGAGGGAGAGAGGGGACAAAAAGAAGGGGAGGAGCCAGCGCAGTGGCAGGGGCGGCCCAGCAGGGGAAGGGGGGGGGGAAAGGGGCGCCGGGGACGGACGGGGTGGTCGAGCTGGTGGCGGGCTGGTCGTGGTGGGCGTGGCTGTGGCCGCTGGAG